ACCTCTTTACTTTTCTAATAATTACATCATACAGTAATTAAGATTTGAACAGGAAATTTTTTGTTTTTTCAAAATTTACCTTTCTTTTCCACCTTATTTGCTTTATTTTGGTTGACTTTAAGTACCCCTAATAATCTTCCAAAAAAAAAAAACTTCCTTATTTCTTTTTTTTTCCTCCTCTATTTGTGTTGTTATGCTATTCCATTGTTTTTGCTTTGCTAATAATTTGATTATTCCCTTTGTGTGCAAATCAGTTGTCGTTCACTTTGTTTCTATTTTTTTTTTGTCCTCACCATTATTCTATAAAACAAAACAAAAAAAGGTGACAAAAAATGGTCAATGTTATGCAGTGATAATATCCCTTCATCAAATACCACAACTTTAAGCTGACATAAAACCCTAAAAAAAAAGTTTTAACTTTTTTTAGGGTGAAAAAAATGATCACTGAATAGACAGACTAAAATTTTTGAAATTTATTTGTCGAACAATTGCTGTTTGAACCATACTTTGGACACTCAATGCTGTAAACTGAACACACAAATACACATGGCTGACGAAAAAATTTTAGTTTTTTTTTTATCTTAAGATAGGTTTACACACGAAGAAGAAGATAGATCAAAACTAAAGAGTGTTATAGCCATTGTTGATATCAGAACAAAAAAAGATCTAGTCTTTCATCCCCCTCTAAAAGCAAAAAAAAAAGCTTAAATTTTCTAACCTGACCGTCACCATCGATATCCACTTCAGCGATCATTTCGTCCACTTCTTTATCGCTGAACTGTTCACCCATATGTGTCATAAAATACCGAAATTCTTCTGCAGTAATATATCCGTTACCATCGCGATCAAATACTCGAAATGCTTCACGGATCATTTCGCTGTCATTTTCCTAAAAAAAAAAATAATTAATTAATTAATTAAAAAATTGAAAACAAAAAATAATGTCAAAGGCAAAAAATGCAATTTTTTCTTCTTCTTTTTCAAAATTTTATTCATTTATGCAGGTTTTTTTGTTTTGTTTTGTTTTGACAAGAATAGGGTGGTTTAAAAAACAAGATAAGATTGATGAATCTAATTTATCAATCAAAATTTTGAGGCAAACATCTGAAGAACTTAGATATTTGCTTGAAATATGCCATAATTTTTTTTTTTTGGTATTTTAATTAATTACAGTAAAAAATTAAATACAGTAAAAAAATGAAAGAAAAAAGCAGTAAAAAATTTTTGTTTTTTTTTTTGTTTTTCTTCTTTCTTTCCTCTTTTTTTGTTGTTTATAGATATCAATTTTTTTTTGTAGATATTCAGTAGACTAATTCAGAAAACATTTAGAATGCTTCTT